TTAGAGGAAGAAAGAATCGAACGAGCGAAGGAGAGAAAAGGGCAATGAGAGAAGAGACTAAGCGGAAAAAGAGAGTAAGAGGATGGGCAGCGAAGATTTAGGCGAGACTTCATAGGCGACGATGTGTAGAAGTGAAGACGTTGCTTCTCCTCTTTTTGTCTGCATTTATCATCGTGCTCTGAGATGACATTTATAAAAATTACGTATATAAGGCAATTAATTATATAAAACATTTCGTGACGTTAGCTCAATAATGAGATAGAAAAACATATATTTATGTTAATTAAGAGGAATAACTTCTTCACCCGAATTTTAGTGCATAATATAAAAAAAAAGTAAAATAGATTAAGATAAAATGTTCGAAGAAAACTAGGAACTTTGGATTAACTAGGAAAAGATAAGCATACGGAATTAGATACTATCTATTTGATTAGTTTCTTTCATCACGTTAGATTTTACGTTAGTTCCGTTTTGTTTTAGTTAAGCGATATTGATATTAGATAATATAGTAATTCGATACATAATTGTATAAAATAAAGTCAGTAAAGTTATGTTAGTAATTACCACACATGTGCCAAGTATTGTATGTACTTTTAAGAGAAATTAAAATGAGAGAAAAAATTAAATGGAGAAAGATGTGATCGTTGCAATCACGTGGTTAAACGAAACAATGTGAGCTTTCCTTTATCACATCGAGAACGGAGAGGGGGGGGGGGGCGTAGGGGGGACCGGTATCACGCCGTGAACGCGCATGCAGTCAAAGAGAAACAAACGGGGCGAGAAGTGGTATCCATGGGGGATGGGAGGCGGAAAACAAGGAGAGAAACAAGTGTAAGCGGGCTGTACGCAACCGCGGAGGTGAAGATGCGTGAAAGTGGAGGTGCTTAGTAGCGATCTAATTATCTACGCGGCGGGATGTCGCGGCCTCCCTCTGCGCTTCACCGCATTGAGGAAACAAGAGCAAATTGAATGGCGGCGGATGGTGTGCTTGTGCGCTAACCGAAGAGAACCGAATCGTGCCTATAAGACGGCACATTCGAAACAGCTTTCTTCGACGATTGTTACGTATGTCATACAAATATAAGATATTTGGCAAAAAAAAAAATGTAAACACAACTAATTGCCGCTTCACGATTTCTTTGAGATTTTTAATTACAATATTGACTTATGTTACGTTTCATAAAATAGATTAAAAATGTTTTGTTTTGAATTAATAATAATTTCAAATTAATTACGAATATAATAAAATTGATTTAAAAAAATTAAAGGTAATTTCAAGAAGGGATAAACATCATTATGGTGAGCGCACACTGCCGATTTCATAAGTTTCTTTTTCTCTCGTTCTTTCGAAGTACAATGCTTGTGTACACGTGCCTCGCTCGTGTCATCGTTAAGTGTGTTAAGCACGTTAGAATCCAGCGGAGGACAGTGATTTGGGCCCTTTCTTTTCGATTCAACGCAGGTCGCCGATCGCGAGGAATTTCTCATGTCACGCCGCGTTACTTTATTTATCGACGTTGAACGCCACTTATAACCTTTTGCCTCCTGGAGTTAAAGAGCACAGAGAAGATTTCCTGACGTATAAAATCGATTGATCGACTCTAGGCATTGTCGAATTGTTCGCAATAATACGCTTGACTGCGCGCAGATGTAATAACTTTATATTTTATAATATTCTTCTTCGAGCGCGTGAATAAGCATAAAAAGGCTTTTTTTTCAATAATAAGAAATAAAAGCGTATTAATTTTATTTCTTCAAATAAGTTCTCAGCCTCTGTGAGAACGTAATAACTTTTGAATTTACAAATATAAGAATAATCTCGTATTAATAAATATTTGATATGCGGACTATAAAAGGTGGTAATTAAATGGAAAGATAATTATGTAAATATATGAAAAGATAGTGTCAGGTCAAAATTTCGAGCATAAAATTTCATAGCGGCGACGAGACGAAGCACAAAACGTTCGACACGCTTTACACAATATGCTTCGCGCCGTGTGAAGATTCCGCTCGATACTCTCGTCGTTTCGAAGGCACGTACAATCGCGAGTGCGTTGACATTACTGCGCTGTGACTCGCGCATGTTAATACGTTCTGACACGAAGAAACACAACGAAACGCGGCGTAAGATACGAGCGTAGATCGGTGTGACGTCCCGCCTTATCTGACATAGAACTTAGTTCGGAAAGCAGCGCGCGCGTTACATGTCAGCATGTCCAAATAAAGTGCCGCGTATATCGCGGGCGCGTATTATATTCTAGCCGGGCAATTAACTCGCTACTTGATTAACTGGGTAGAGCCTGTCAACTTTCGCGGAGGAGGACTTCACCGAAGAGAGAAGAGCGAGACGTGAAGACGCGGGGGAGGGCAGACGAGAGGAAGCCGAAGAGAGTGAGAGAGGGGAAAGGGGAAGGGGACGGGAGGAAAGTCGGACTCGCGCGAGGGCATCGAAGTTACGAAAGGGGAGTAAAAGACGTACGCGCGCGAGGGGAGGAGAAGGGGAAAAGGAGTGCGGGGGCCCTCCTCGACGTAGAGACGCCGAGGAGGAAAAAAGAGAAGGGGGAGGAGCGGAGAGAAGGAGAGAAGGAACCGCGTCCACGGTGACGGTCAGCGAGCGCGAGGTGACCCCTGACCCTTTCGTGCGTCCTCGTCTGCGTCCCGGCACCGTCCGGTCGGAGCCTCTCCGTTCCACCGGCGGGACTCAAACGACTCCGTGGGGCCCTCCGTGAGGGCCCAGCGTGGGCGAAGCTTACGCGCGGGGGAGTAAGAGGCGGCCAGGGAGAGCGGGAGGAGAGAATAAAGCGTGGAAGAGGGGCCGTACGGGGAGAGGGGTGACGAGTTGGCCCGCGGGCGTCCCGGGACCGTGAGAACACCACCTATAATATTATTTAGTCTGCCCGATGCCTCGGTTCGCCTCTCTTCTCTCTTGGCCGCGCACCTTTCTCTCTCTCTCTCTCTCTCTCTTTCTCTCTTTTCCTCTCTTCCCTCTCACCCTCCCTTACCGCACCCTTTTCCACTTCAATCGTCTCTCTTTCGCCTTTCCTTGAGAGACCACCTCTCCTTCTATATCGTACTCCATCGTACTCTCTCTCCCCTCCCTCTCTTTCTCTCTCTCATCCTTCCTCCCTTTCTCTCTCCCTCTTGCCCGGTTACTCGCCCTTTTTTTGTCTCTCATGTGCGCGCACGAGAGCGCGTGTACGGAATGTCTCTCTTTCTCCCTCGCTTTCGGTGCGCTCCGACACTGAAGAGGCAGCTAACTATAGGCGCTATACACGGCTTACTCGCGCGCATTAATTGCCGTCGTAAATTGTTGCGGCTTTGCCGAGAGTCCGAGTTGAGTCGAGTCGGAATGAAGCCGCGGCGGCGCACGGGCGCGGTACCGCGGGAGAGATACCTTTTTTTTTTTTCAGTGCGGCATCACTATATTCACTCGGTTTTGCCTCATTTTCACACGATGTCTATTGAGATATTAGAAACTTAAGTCGATTATGTACGGACCGTTCGCTTGTAGTGATTAAAGAAGAAATCCGACAAACTGCTCCATGCTCTGAAATGCAGTCTGTCGGATTTCTTCTAATTATTTGATGACATTCTTGGAATTTATAAACTTTGTTCTTCTATACGTAAAAGGCGGATTATTAGAATTGTAAAAAATCGACATAAAAATAAATCAGTTATATTTGAATCAGTTTATAACGTAAAATGAATGTAACACATATGTAAAACATATAACATTCACAAATTGATAATAATTTATTGATTAAAAAAAAACTATTTTTTAAGAGAATTACATATTACGTTCAAAAAAGAAAATGTCTAAAGTTTTATTTACGATACTTTCTGAATTATTCTTTGGGATGTATAAATTAATAATTAAAGCATATATTTAAAAGTGCAAATTTGCAATAAAGAGAATGAAAGAGAGAGAGAGAGAACATATAGCCCTACATAAAAATATAAGTTTTTGGAACCAACAAATGCCTCTAAGCATTATATGTATATGAAAAGCTGTAAGTTTGGTATTTAAGTTAAATAAATTGTGTGATCAATAATCTTTATTATTGCATGAATAATTTCTTAATATATGTTTCAAATTATTCTTTCTTACAGCCAATCATCTCCAATGGCACAAATAAAAATATTCTACATACCTATTTGCTCTCCAAATGTAAGAGAGACACGCGTTTCGCGAAGGAAACACACGACAGGGTTAAACAGCTGTTGACCCGCGAACGCGATCGCGATCGCGTTTCCGGATACCCCTCGCACACACGCGCGCGCGCGCGCGTGCGTCCCCGAGTTGTATGCCCGTCGTCGCGGCACGCAAGCCGCAGCGGTCCACGTCAGATCGTGCGGCCCCACGGACGCGCGGCGCGACCAGGGCCCGCATCGTCGAAACGGCGGGCCGGCGATCGCCGCGGACCAGCTGTGGCACGGCACTCTCTCCTGAATCCGGGGTCCGTTCCCCGCGGACAGGCCCATTTTGACTCGGATACCTGCCACCAGGTGGCTCCACCAGCAGTACCCAGCAGCGGCAGGTAGGAGCAGTCTTCGGGGCGCCTTCGCACCGCCAGCATCGCGTGTGTGTATTCTCTTTCCCGTTTTCACGTTCGAGCACTGTGCCTACAGAAACGATCGTTTCGGTAACTGACAATCGATCGGCGAAAACCATGTGAACGCGCGGTCGAGTTCGCCAACGTCGTGCAAGAGTGAAAAGCCGCCGTGGAAGACTACCGGAATACCGGAGGGGAATACCGGCACGCGCGTCCACGTTGCTAACACTCATCAGGATCAGTTAAGACGAATCAGGAATTTCCGATCGCCTTGCCAATGATATCGGCGAAACACGGAAGGCGCGCGTTCCAGAGGCTAATCCGGAACGATTCGAACGACGGTGGAGGATGCAACAGCAGGAGCAGCAGCAGCAGCAGCAGCAGCAGCAGCAGCAGCAGGAGGAGGAACAGCATCAGGAACCGGAGCAGGAGCAACGGGCGTTCGTAATGGTGCCATCCACGTCGTCCTCGTCGTCGACCTCGTCGGTCACGGCCACGGCGGACTCGCGCGAGACCGCCGATGTCACCGGTCTCGCGACGGGCTCCGAATTGCCGAATCTAGCGCTCCAGAGTGCCGCCCTGCGGATCCAGGGCGCTCTCCTTTCCGCTCTGCAGCGGGCGATCCTGCAGCCGGGACACGCCGCCGCGGCGGCTTTCAATCTGCAGGCGTACATGGAGACGTTCCTGACGCTTCATCGTTTTCATACGAGCGGCGCGACTTCCGGCGTCCCGCAGACCGCGGCGGCGGGCGCCACCGCGACCGTCGTTGGCAATCCGACGAGGTGCTCGTCACTGAACGCGAATGTCGACGTGGCCCTGAGCCCGACGCTCATCAAGAACGACCACCTGACGGCCGATCAGCTGCTTCGATCGACCGCTTCGGCGACCAGCGAGGACGACGAGGCACGGCTGGACTTTGTGACCGACACCGAGGAGGATCTGGCACTTCTCGCGGAGGAGGACGAGGTCCTGCTGAGCGAGACGTCCGGAACCACGAGCTCCTCTTCCGCGAACCACGAGCTGCTCCTGCGACGAATATCCGAGGGGAATCGCGCGAGTACGTCGGTGATGACGGTCTCGCGGACCTTGACCGCCCCGACGTCTTTTCCGTCGTCGACCTCCTCAGGTTGCTCCTCCGCCTCGTCCACCTCGTCTTCTTCCTCCTCGTCCGCGCAGCAAGCCACGATCGCGGTGGACTCGAGTGTACCAAGGACTTGCCGTACGTCCAGACCCAAGAAACAGTTCATTTGTAAGTTCTGCAACCGGCAGTTCACGAAGAGCTACAATCTGTTGATCCATGAGAGGACGCATACCGACGAGCGGCCGTATTCGTGCGACATATGTGGCAAAGCCTTCCGACGGCAGGATCATCTGAGAGATCACAGGTAACATAAATAGGCCGTAGCCATCTGGGAGACGTTAGTGTTTGGACACAATGAAAGAAATAAGGAATGAGAATAATATCTCTGACTTTTGCCTTTACCTTAGTTTCTTATTTCAATTCCCTGTGTTCCTTCCATTGTGTCTGAGCCCTTAGTCTTCCGATTAGATCTTTCCTTATAAGAACATCACACGTGCAGGTTTTTTACTGTTGAATGTTCGAAATAATTTAATTGATTAAATGGAAAAACGTTAATTGGCTGATTTTATGATATTTTGATTTTTAAAATATTTTTCATGTTGATGAAATGATAATAATTTAATTATAATTAATAAATAATAAAAAAACAGGATTATGAATTTTTATTTTAAAATTGTATTTTAATAATAAGTAATATTTTTTATGTCGAATTTTTTATTACATAGACGTTTGTATTTATTAATACATGCACATATTGTAGAATACATTTATAAGCGAATTAAATTTATGCTTTGAATTATATTAAAAACAAATTTCAAGTTACGCCATTGTAATATTCAATTGCACACGATTAAAATAATCATTTTGATAGAATTTATTTATAACCTGCGGATACATTTTCAAGAGAAATAAATATTATAATGATATGTTACTTAAGAAAATTGAATTAAACGTTTAAGCGCATAAAAGCTTTGATGACGGTATAGGATTATTTACCGAATTCATTCCCTTCGTGTGGAATGAAAGATTTAGAGACCCGCGCGTATTTATCTCTTTATCGCGTCGCCATTAATTACAAGCGTCGTACGATTTACGAACGGACAAATTCATGGTACGCCTTTTCCACCTCGCGTAATTACAACGATGATTGAATGACGTGTATATTATATTTAATGGTCAACGTGTCACGATCCATTCATTCATTCATATCTTTACCGTTGCAATAATTGTAGTTCTTACTTGATAATAATATTAAGTTAATAATATATTACTCGATGATTATTTTATTCTTCTCTCCTTTCCAGTTTTTAGTATTATATAGACACACATATGCGTATCTCGTCGCGCGTCAGTAATTTTATATAAATTATACAGTTTTGAATATGCTAACGTGTCAAGAAATACAGATGCACGCTCGAGCAGATAGTTTAAAGAAGAAATTTCAACGTAAGATTCAAACTGGAAGGTTTTTTTTATCCCACATTGCAGGTACATACACAGCAAGGAGAAACCGTTCAAATGCGCCGAGTGCGGCAAAGGATTCTGTCAGAGCAGGACGCTGGCTGTCCACAAGATTCTGCATATGGAGGAGTCGCCGCACAAGTGTCCCGTCTGCTCCAGGAGTTTCAATCAGAGGAGCAACCTGAAGACGCATCTTCTCACGCACACGGATATTAAGCCCTATCACTGCGCCTCCTGCGGCAAGGTCTTCCGCAGAAATTGCGATCTGAGGAGGCACTCGTTGACCCACAATCTGGGCGTACCGTCGTCGCCACCGCCGTCGGGAATGCCCGTTTCCGGCTCGAGCACCATTGTTCTCCAGGAGACGTCTTAACGCGCGAACATCTCGAGTCCTTACCTCGGTCGCGTCGCGTCAGGACGAAATCTTGTCTGGCATCGGGGCGGGCGCGCTTTCTTCCAACGACGCGGATCGATATCCATTTATTTTATAACGCCGCGGTGATCTCGACTTCGACGTGCGATCGATTCCGACGGTCGATTCGGTCGCGTTCGTATTCGAGCCACGGCCCTGCACGGTCCAATCGGCACCGGTCGAGGATTTCGATCTCCTTGCGCGTGTTCGAGCCCCCGACTCGCCTTCGTATCTATCTGCTGCCTGCACTATCTATCATCGTTAACGTTTAGAGCGTAATCATTGTTATGTACATCACGATAAGGATATACGGATTCGTGCATGTTTAGATCTGTAATTCTATGTATGCGATACGCGGTAGGTACCCTCTCTCTCTTTCTTGAATATAACGTATAGTCGTTATCTTCACTTTTTTTTCTTAACGGTGTACCTACTATACGTGTCCGTTGTGTTCTGTCGTTCACGTGTGTAAAATAAACATTTATTATTATTTTTTAACTCACAGTCGTCTGCACCTTCACTCAATCTCCCTCGCCTCTATGCGTAGCTGAATGATGGACAAATCAAATCGTGAATCTAATTGGAACGATTCAACTGCTATATAGGTAAAATACTATTCGAGATTTTCAAATGGAAATTTTAATGCAAAAAAATATATAAATAATTAATTTAAACGAAGAATATCGTCTGATTTGTTATTAATAGCATCGATTTTATTTACTTTTTAAAAACTTTCTTTGGCTTCTCAGAAATAGCGTGCGGCACACATTTAATTTATTACATGCAAAACAGATTTTTTTTCTGCTTGTGCATGTAGTCGCGAAATATTTTAAATCTTCATCTGTGCGACTCCTAGATATATCAGGCGTTATGAAGTGTTCACTTAAACAGGTTCGTCGAGTGGAGTACGTCAGCCCGACCGAAAATTCCAATCCCCCTGGTATTAAACCAGGATTTTTGCCTTCTCCTTTTTTATCCGTTCCACATATCCAGGCTAGGTATAAGCTGATGACGGGCCGGAGAGAAGAAGAGACAAAAGGGCACGGTAAGCGGAGGAGAAGTTAAAGAGGAGGAAGCGGGGGGGAGGGTGGAGGGGGAAGGGGAGGAGGTGGAGCAGGAGGACGAAACGCGTGTATTGTGTTACAAAGAACGGGGCCGCCAGGTGCGCGCAGGACATGACACCGCGATACGTCTAGAGTTACGTTTCTTTTCTCGAAGGTGCCGGGAAGAGTGTGGAGGAGAGAGAAAGAGAGAAGGTGGGCCCCAACGACGCTATTTCGGATCCCGGTGGTATATCCAAAGACGGGGCCTCCTCGCGCTCGTCGATAAGGAGAATCCTGCGCGACCGGTCGACTGCCGCTCATCGTCCGGTCGTCTCGAATGGAGCGCACACGGCGGCTACGCGCCTGACCGTGTATATGCTCACGTAAACCCGGACTCCCGGGCGAGCTTTCATAAATTCTTACCGGCGGACGTTTTACCGCGAATTACGGCCCGTCGTTTTACCGCAAAACCCCGCGTTGGCAAAATCGTGTTTACGGCGTCCGGGATATATACACACGTATGGGAGTTACGAAGACGAGGGGGGGAGGCGCGGGAGAGACGCCGCCGCCGGGGACGGCGAGTCCTGGATGCTGGAAGCGACCGGAATGACTTCTCGACGAGAGTCTTTGTGTCACGTCTGTTCGAGGTATCGCCTGTTAGTCTCCCGGCACCGGCAGAAACTTCTTCTCGGAGACTTCTCTGCGTCTGCAGCGAAATTCCTGATAGTAACCATCACGCCTTGACCCTGCGTTGAGCCTCTCTCAACTTGCGAGCGTCTAAAGGCTACATTTGACGCCTTGAAAATGATAATAGAGACAAACAAAAGTCAATACTACCAAGAAGCCTAACTTGAAGCGACATGGGAGGGAGCGTTGAACACGCAACATTTCACTAAAATATTCAGACGTTTCGAAGAGATAAATTTCGTGGTACTCTCTGATGCCAAATAAATTATACGTTTTTATATATTTCTCGAAATCTGCGTGATTTTGTGAAATCCAACATTTACATTACCGAAAATTACTCTCTTTCGCTCCAGGCCAATTATTACTGCACCATCCATAAACGATTAACAGAAATTATCTCAAAAGCGTCCGCATAATAATTTGCGGACAGATGGTGTATCATCATACCCTCTTTCATTATCCAAGGAAAAATATCGCGCCGGGGAAGATTACAGAATTTAACGGTTATACGATACGATATAGAGTGGCTACGTGGGCGAGTTTATGATCACCTTACAGATACGAACTGTCAGTGCGGACGGCACGCATTTCTAATTAAAACGATCGTATCGTAATGAGCATGGAGAGGCAAAACTCCTGAACTTTCCCGACCGATTATATATTATATCGACAGGCCGACGCGACGTGCGAAATTAGAAAACCGGGGGAGGGGGTGATTGTAAAGTGGACGCGCTCTCGCGAGATGACTCGGAATGGAGAAAAGGGTATCTTCCAAGCATGGTGGAAGCTCGAGGAAGGAACCGAGAGTTAAAGGAGGGGAACCGAGGGGACATAGAAGGACCACACGCACGCGCCGCCCACAGATACGCTATCACTTGGCTACAACCGACGTGATCTGCATGCGCGTGTCCCCTCTTCGTCACGGAGCGGAAAGAGAAAAAAAGAGAGGCAAGAGACAAGGGAGAAAGGAAAGGAGAGGAGTGTTCTCCCGTCCATTCCCACTTACACGCTTCATCCCTCGGCCTGCGGTCTACCCTACCTTCCCTGATTTAAGGAGTCGACGAAGCGTCGATAACGCGATCGTGCCCCGCGCGCGCTATTTCTTTTTCACCCTCCCTCCCCCCTCCTCACTCACACGTTGCTCCTGTCGCTTTTCATCTTGCGGATAAATTCGATCGAGGAGATTAAGGCCCCGCAATGTTACGCGCTGCTGGCAATTTGTACGTCGTGATTGATCCGCCGTTTACTGTGTCGATTTGTATGCGTCGCGAGACCGAAAAAGCGCCACAGCTTGTGCGCGATGTCTGATACTTCACATCTGCGTCACGCTGAATTATCTTATTGTATTTCTCTCACTTGCAATTTTCCTTACAAAACTGATAAATGATTAATGTTTTTACGATACACTCTTAATCTTTTTAGTGTTGAATTAAAAAATAAATTTTCATTAGACAACAATTAAATTAATCGATTCTCCATTGACATTTCGTCCTCCGACGTTAAGTCTCCGAATGCCATGACATCACACGAATAAAGTAAGAAAAAAAATTTAGGTATTACAATGTAATACATGTGGGAATATTTTTCGCGGCAACAAGAAGCGATTATTCCGTCGTTGATGTTGGGTCCGATGATTTTTCCGAAAAACGATCCAGCAGTAAAACGATTACATTATTACGACCGCGTAGTACCAGTTATATCGGTTTCATCCGCGATTATCATAAAAACCACCGCCGATCCTCAGGCCGCGGTCATTAATCCCGGGTGCTTCGCGTTGCACAATGTGAATATTCCCATCTCCCACCCGCGAATATTTTCAGGCGCTCGCACAGCCGAAACGGGGCTCGCGCTACTCGTTGCGTAACTCAATCCCGGCGTATTTACTACTTATGCAAATTGAAATCGAGCGTCTCGCGTAAATCGTAAATTTATTCCCGCCCCTTCTCACGCTTGCGCGAGAGATATCGTCATCAACCCGCGCCGTGCTGCGCCGCGCCGCGCCGCGCCGCGCCGCGCCGCGCCGTGCCGCGCGCAATCGCATGTATCGAAAGAGGATCGGTCGAACTGCGAGATTCACCGGACGCGAAAGCGCGGGATGAGAGAGCGAGCGAGCGATCGCGCCGCGCCGGCCGGCACGTGCGCCAGTATGCGTGCGCTTTTTGCGCAAGAAGAGCGCTCGTACGCACCGGGGTATAACATCTCCATACGCGGGAGAGAACGAAGTTGTACTTACCGATATACGATCGGCGGATGATCGCGCGAAAGGCGGGGGCCACCCGCGATACCGCAGGCGTGTATCGCTTAACAGCCCGCGCCACGAGCATTTGTAACGTGCAGCGGTGAACGCACTATGACGCGCGGCCGCGCGGCCTCCGCTGCGTCGCGTCACGTCGCGCCGCGTCGCGCCGGTTATCGTTTCTCGGCTCTCAACGTGACTAGAATCACTTCTCTATTGCGTTATTGGTGTAACCGGCATTAGACTCAAAATCGGCGAGTTGGTGAGTAAAGACGTAAGCAAATTCTTATTTTGCGATCTAGAATCTAGATAATCAAATAGAACTTATCGGAGACGTGAATATGTAAGTGAAAGGGTTAGGTTATGTAAAAATATAAGCATATTAAAAATAGAAATAATATAGACTTAATTATGTTCATTAAAAAACGCACGTGGCACGGATTTGATTAACACAAGTCTATTTAATATCGTAACATTATCCGAGTAGTCATAAATGATTTTACGGTTGCGTATGACTTTCAATGGCAATGTCATAACTGCTGTTTTTTTTTTCGAGAAAAACATCAACGTTAAAGCACCCGCGTATCCGAAGCTCCCTGATAATTGTAAAACAAATCAACACACGTACAGGGTAACAAACACGTAAATCGCGACACACGACCGTCGGCCATGCGTGACACTTTGACTGGCCAAAAAAAAAAAACGCGGCTCATTTGCGCGACCGGGTCCGCGCCGTGTGTGATTGGCGGAACGCTGATGCGCGATGAGCCGTGCGTGCGCGCGCGTGTACGGCCGCGTGCGTGCACGCGAGCGACGGTGCGTGTGCGTGAGCTACGAAATACGGACGGGCGGACAGGATGACGGACGGCGGGACGCCCGGGGCAACCGAGAGTGGTGACTCGCGCGACACAAGCTCACACTCGCGCCCACGCATTTCAGGCCCGAGCTCAGCCTCTCTTCTCTCTCTCTCTCTGTCTCTCTCTCTCTTCTCTTCTTCTCACATCGCCGGGTTCCTTCGCGTTCCTCCTCTCCCTCGTCCTGCGTTC